CTTTTCCAAATCCAGTTTGATCATCTGAGACATTTAAGTGTGACAAAAAATATCTGTAGTGCAGCAAATCAGTTTTCAAATACTTCTTTGACACATACGGTTCAACTCTAACAAGAAAAAATAAATGAGGCAGAGGAAAATATGAAGCGGACCATAAAAAGGGAAGGTGTCAGAGGATGATATGAGCTGACAGGGAAGGAGTGGAACACATCAGCTAAATACACACAGAGGAGGGGGGCTGTAATTGCAAACAGGTGCGTCTAATTAAACAGGAGCAAGCTCCTGAAGTGGGCAACAAAAAGAAGCTTCCTCTCTGCTTACATTTAGTAAAATATCAGAACATGTGTGCAGGGTAATGCAGCAGATCTCATTAATATGGTCTTCTTAATCCAAGTCTGGTGATTTAATTTACAAGCTTGATAGAACACATATTAAAAAGTTAAAATGTTTTTCTGTGTTAAATCGATGTAACACATTTGCTCTAAACAAAAAAGTAATTTATACGCTTGAGAAACTCACTTGACAGATCAAGAACACATTATGTAATTAAACTGTCATATTTTAAGATAAAAATAGAATGAGCGAGGGTTTATTTACCTTCTTTTCCACAGTGTTCACCTCTATAATCCTACCTTGCTGAAGAACTGAGCAATAGCTTTGGTCCAAGTCCTGGTGGTGACCCACTCTGACTATAATTGCTCAGGCATTTTTTGGAATTTTACAATTTTTCACTTTATCTAGTTGCTTTTTAATGATTTATCCCAGAAAGAAATTTCTCATTCATAGACTGAATATTTAAATATTTTTATATCTTTTCTTGTTCGCATCTGTTGCATTATAAATCATGTTTTACTGAATGACCCAGATTTCTGTACCGCACTCTGGCTATGGGAAAAGCTTTAAAAAGAAATTATACAATGGACATTACCTGTAAAAAGATCCCTCGCATGAATTCTCCAGAATGTTATTTAACTTATTTCTTATCCTTATTTCTGTTTTATTGCAAATCAGAACTCAATCATAGTTTCATTTAGTCTTGGGATTGCTTTTTGATAGTTGTTTATTAAGTTTCCTCTGGACAGTATTAAATTTTTCCTTTTTTTATGCTGCTTTTTCTACCTTTTCCAATATACTCTATGGTGGGGTGATTAAGGGGGAAAAAAAGCTCACAGTTACACCTGAAAGTGAAACTATTGAAATTTGTATTGATGATACAGAAAATTGAGGGAGATCATAAAATTGGGAGGAGATCAGTCGTACTGTCAAGCAGAAGCAACTAAAGTGTTAATCCTAAGTGGTTGATTTTGAAGCTGCCAGTTATTTAAATGTAGAAAAATGGCTTCATCTTCCCTGAACTGGCTAAAGAAGGAACTGCACTTAATAACTCAGACATCTGATCAGCGTAAACTTTTGTATGTGATCCAGTCTGAGTGATGCACGTATGTGATCAAGTGAAAAGTCTTTTTTTCCAGCTTCGCCTCAGAAAACTGCATTTTCTCTCTGCAAACCAACATGCATTAAGAAAACAACAAAAGGTGTTGACTTTACAGTGCAACAGCTAATTACCACGATCAAGACTTGCCGTTCAACCCATAAAAGTTCAACATTTTTCTCCTGAAATGCCCATTAAATTAGCTGTCAGACCTTTATTTAACTTCATCTCTACAGGAAAGGCTGAAGGAAGAGTAAATAATGAAAGTGTTGAAGTAGCGACAGATGTGACATTTAAGAAAATACATACCATATGTGTTTTTTTCATAGCAGTCTCTGTATTTATTCTTGTTAATTACAATTAGATGACGTCTAAAAAAAAAAAAAGGTTTCTTGAGGTTTTTTTTTTTTTCTTTAAACTCAAATGTCTGTTTTTGTAGCTATATTCCAGCAGCTGCAACACTGGCAGTAAACAAATCTGCCTTTTTTTCTGATAAAAATTTCTCAAAACTAGTTTGTCAATAAATGAATAAAAAAAAAAAAAGGGAAAAAACCCACAAACACACTAATCTGTTGTCAAAATGACAAAAATCAAAAATTCCTTTATTATATAATCAGAGAGCTCATGTACACCAGCATGATGCTAGTTTATTTTAGGTTAAAGTAAATGTTTTGTTACAAAAATGGCTCTAAAAGGCTTAAATGTCACGTATTATATAACCTAGCAGTAAAATATTGGTTTATTCAACTATTTCCATTTGCTTGTGTTCTGAGCAACGTTCTTTTTTTAAAGTAAACTTGTAAAATATGTCTGCAGAAAAGGAAAATAACCTTTTGCTGGTAGATAATATTCATCTGAGTCATGAGAGTCATGAGAGTAAAAGGCTGAGCAGAATATAGAAAATTAGTTGCTATAAATGTACTTTCTAAAAGTACAAAACAACCTCCTCATGGATACAATTTGTTCCATTTCAGGCAAAAAAAAAAAAAAAGGAAAGAAAAGAAAAGAAAAGAAAAGAAGGAAAATGACCAAAGTGCAAAATGTTGAAAGGGGTTATATGATCCAACTGTATGCTATCTTAAATTAAACTGAGTGCAACCACACAAAAATGTTATTTTGTTTTCATTACCGTTTCCTCTAATTCTATATTCTATTAAGAGAATTAACCATAATCTGCACTTCTTTCTCTCCAAATGTTTTGATTGCCAATGAAGCTTAAGGACAGCTGATGCTTTGAGACCCTGTATGTATTAGATACCAGGTCATTTTGCAGCTTTGCCATTTTCCCCTTTGGTGGTATTAGTTTCTTTCTATAATGATGGTTTTTTCAAATGCCTTGGAGCCTGTGAAGAGACACCAGGCTTTGATTGAAAAACTGTGCATTCATTAGCAAAACTGCAGCAAGTTGTTCTAGCTTCATCTGCCCTTTCTGCTGATTTTACACATGGAAAAACTTTTTCTATTCCAAGAACTTACAACTCAGAAGTTTTCTAATTGAAGTATTACTGGAGTTTCCTCAGCTCTGTCTAATCTCATGCCCTGGAGCAGTTAGAAGTCAAATGGCATGATGGCTATGCAAATTCACAAAAAATAAAGAAAATTTCATACTTAGTTTTCTCTGTATTTTTTTTTCATCTCCAGTAAGAAGTGGCAGTCTTCCACAAAGGGGCATATTGTTCCTAACATATGTGAAATTGTACCCACTGTGACAGCTGGTGATTTAAAGCAATTTTCTATGATAGAGAAATGTGGATTTATGACAGTAAATAATATCTGTTGGATATGTATTTTAGTTTCCTTTGAACCTGTCCCATTACAGAAAAAAATAGCCAAGATAATGATCAGATCTACGATACTGGGAAATGGGTTGAAATATGTGAGATTTTATCATTTTATGATTATGTATAAGTAGTTTATGAAATCAATCTCTGAAACAAAATGGTTTTCATATATACAATTTTAAAAAAGGGTTTATGTATGTAGTGTTAAGAAAAAAGTAAGTCAAGGGTAAAATAACATTTGTGAAGGAAATAAGGGTCCATATTAGTAAATTGTTAAATTAATCCACAGCTTAGAGTTCAACATCAGAGAGCAGTTTAGCAATAAGACTTTGGAAAACATTTTCTAGAGTGCAGATTGTATTTAGCCTATTTGTGGTATAGACAAAAAAATAGAATAAAGAAAAAAAAACAATAGCACAAAATACCTATTACACATCAGATGTGATTTTTTTTTTATTAGAATCAACAAAAGCAGTGCCTCCTTTTGTCTTTACTCTTCAGAGTTAAAATGCATGTTTCAGGAATTAGGTAAACAGTTTAAGAAAAAAAGGACTGCCATTGTTTTCTTGAAATGGTCAGCATATGCTTTTTTTTTTATTCTAAGAAAATGTTTCATTGCACCTCCTTCTAGGGCTGGATGATATGGCCTAAAGGTTTTTTTTTCCTTCGATTTATGATTCACCCCCCAACCCCCAGAGTAATAATGCATCTACAGAAACACAGGGGAGCCAAAAATGCGGCGTTATAAAAACAAAAACAACGATTTACATTTTTTAAAATCACCTGCAACAAAGAATTAATTCATTGGATCGATTATTTTTGCCCAGGCCTACCTCCTACTGACGCACATAAACCACTACAGTTCTTTTGACTGGAATACAAAAATGTATACACTGCATTTTTTCACAGTAGCCTGAAAGAAAAACATCAGTTTAAGAAAAAAAAGGTTTTGAAATATAACTGTCCTGCTCAAGTTGGGAATGACAAAGCTTCACTGCCTTCTCTACCTAGAAAGACTTGACAGTAAAGAAAACCTGTTTAGAAGAACTCAGGTCATGTGCCACTTTTTCTTTAAGTTGTTAATCTGAGAATTGCAAACAAGTTCCTGGATGAAAGATCTTTAGATGCTTACTTGTTTAATACTGAAGATGTTGCCCAACAGGAATACAAATTACCAGTGTTGAAACTCCTCTGAAAGAATGCGTACTATAACTTATTTTAAGAATACACTTTAAGAAGCTGCACACTATGAATTATAAAGAATCATTCATTTGACATCATTTGCGCTAATGCACTAAAAAGAGACATACAGATACAAACCCTTTATAATATACAATGATCATTAAGTAGTGAAACAGTTTAAATGAGGCCTGCAGTAATGGAGAGTACAACATGCTCCCCATAACAAACTAGTGATAAAAGCAATGAAATCAGTAGAGGTGCAGCTAAAGTGTTATATAAATCCCACATTTAGATTAACGGTTTGTGAGAGGCATGAGATAAAGCCAGCTGGAAGGCATCAGAATAAAACACAAGCATTAAAATGTTCCTCCAGGTTAATGGTGCACTTAACCTTGCTTTTGACCTGTGTGTGCCGTGGTGAGTACACGTCTCTCTGCTTGGCGCCAAAAATTGCTGCCACTCCAACTGACATGACTATAACTAGTGATCATTTGCATGAAGGAGTTTCTTTTGTGTGTATTAGTGCTGCTGGAGATTTTATTTTTAGCTAACTCACATCTCATGCAGAGCATTTCTTTTTCTTATCTCCATCTGTCTGTATTCAGGACTGGGTGGAGCGTGTGGTTATTTGGTTGGAGCTATGGACTGGGGCCACTCAGCCTTAGGTCGTCTGTTGGGCTCCGAGTACCAAGTCATCTTCTTCTTCTCTGCAATCACCTGGGGCTTTTTCCTCACCGTGCACCTGTTTAGCATTCCAGAGACACCTCTTTCCAAGGAGCCTTCAGTGTCTGATTCCTCGTCTCCCAGTGCTCTCCGTTTACTGGGCTCCCATAGCAATGGTTACGGAGCCCTTGGTAAAGAGCCAACCTCTCCTGCTGTACAAATATCTGCCTCAGACCTCAGGCCAAGATCCTTTTCAACTTTGGGCGAAAGGCCGAGATCTTATTCAGCTCTGGGCGAAAGGCCGAGATCCTTCTCAGCTCTGGGAGAAGCTAACTCTGTGACATCAAGCGCCAAGCAGCCAAACAAGGTAGGCGATTTCTTGGTTCCAGCTAAGGTCACAACTGAGTTTTACTTTTTTAAGATAGTCCATTTTATTTTATATGCTAAGAAAACTGAGTCCCACAAAAGTGTTTGATGTGTGTCGATAACATCTAAGATTTAAATAATTACTGGTATGTTCTGGGTTTTGCTTTAAAGGAAATGTCTGGTCACATTCAGAATAGAAACTTCTGAAAGCACTTTAAGTATGATATATTTACATACTTTTCAATAAATGATAAGTGTTTTTAATTAAGAATAATTCAAAGGGCACTACTGCCATCTACTGGTTTGTAACTTCATGGTGCGGTATTGGCTGTTGAGCAAGTCCCAATGCTGTATCTGGTGTTTGTCACAACGCACTATTATCCATGATGGTGACAACCAGTGCACTATGCGAATCAGAGAGTTACAGATTAATATCTGTGCTGCATCATGAATCAGAAACTTGAAATAACAAATGTTTTTTAAATTTTCAATTCAATTCAATTCAGTTTATTTATATAGCGCCAATTCACAACACAAGTCATCTCAAGGCACTTTACAGTTCAACCAGATCATACAGTCAAATTGATTCAAAGTTTTCTATCTAAAGAAAACCAGTTGATTGCATTGACTCAAATACAATCCCTCACACCAAGCATGCTTGTAGCGACAGTGGAGAGGAAAAGCCGACGTATCACAACATCCAACTGCCATGCATGTGGGCACTGTCAGTTTAACTATAGCTCTCGTGAATGTCAATGGTGAAGTCCTTTCATAATCTTAAATAATTGTTTTTGATTGCAGATATATCTAGTAATTCCAATTGATTTTGCTTGTAAAGCCGAGAGAATGGAACTAGGCTTGCCGCACTGTGACATTACTGGAGGAATATGTCAGGAGTGAGGTGTTACTATATTTGGGCAAAAATTGCCATTCCCGGACTCAGTGACTCAGTCATGACGAAATATATAGTTTTGATTTTTTTACTAATTAACACTAAATTCATCAAATCACTCCCGACGTATTATTTTTAGATATAGATAATGATCCATTAGTTATTCCTTAACAGGTGAAATTTGAACATGGTCTGCCAGATCTCTTTGTGTTTTTTTACTTATTGGATTTAAACATGCAGTTTGCTGCCAATGATTTTACTAAGAACATCAATCCTATATATATATTAACGTTAATTGTTTTTGACAAACATCTTAACATTAGATTGTTATGATTTATGTGATAAAGAAAAAAACTTCACTTTAAAAATCTCATATTTTTTATAGCTGTTTTTGATCCAAGCTAATGCACTAAAAGGCAACAAACTGCCCTGAAATAACAGGATGTTGCAGAACATTTCCAGTGACCACACATCTCACCCCTCTAACCTTTATATATTGGTTCTTGTCATTGATTCTAAAAAACACACACTATTCTGTTTCTTGAAAACTTGCCAGAAGGAGTCAGTTGTGGCTGAGAGACTTGGAAGAGGTTAGTATTGATCTTGGATCATTGTTTGTGCAGGAGCAGAAGAAGATGACTTTCAGGTCCCTGATGAAAGCTTTCATCAACATGCCAAGCCACTATCGTTGTCTATGCATCAGTCACCTGCTGGGATGGGCAGCCTTTCTCTGCAACATGCTCTTCTTTACTGATTTCATGGGACAGGTTAGTTTGAGTCAATATCTGTACTTTTTAAGGCAGCTATTTTGGAGAAAGAAAATCAAAACCGCTTTATGAAGAAAGTCCAGGAAAAGTGTGGCAGTTAGCAAAAAAGTGTTCATAGCATGGACATTTTTGGTTAATGTTATTCCAAATGCATTTTACTTTTTTTTTTATTATTATTATTATCAATAATTAGGGTATAATGATCTGTCTGCACACAGGCTGCTAAACTAATTAAGAGCATAAATAAATGGACTTCTTCAGCAAAACATCTCATTGCTGCCCCTTTATTTTAAAAGCTGCTAAATTCATTAATAACCAAACAGCTGACAATGATAAGCAACCCCCTCTACTACTTAATAAAACAGATGTTTAAGAGCTTTAGATTTTGCTTCTTTAAGTTGTGTAGATATATTCAATCATAGATACATCACTGTGTTAAATATGCCAAAAAACAGTTTATGTCAAATTACAATGTTACTCTTTTTTATAGCTTTTATATTTTGTGTTTGGGGAGTGGCGGCGTAGTGGTTAGGGCATAGAGCTTAGAATCCTGAGGTGCTCAGGTCAAACCCCACTCCCACAGACTGCCACTCTGGCTCCCTAAGCAAGACCCTTAACTCCGCACTGCTCCCCGGGTGCCGCACAATGGCAGCCCACTGCTCGCCAAGGAGAAGGGTTGAATGCAGAGGTAAATTTCTCCAATGTAATATCAATAAAGTACAATTATTATTTTATTAGAATATTTACCAAAAATCTTCCTATATCTATATATACAAATGGAATTTCAAAGACTGATTACCACCAAAATTTGGAATTTATTTCTGTTTCAAAAATTAAATAAATACAAATTCCTGTATTGTTCAACATAAGAAAAATTAGTGAGTGTGACAAAACAAGTGGAGATAAGACATAAAAACTTATACACAGATGCTATTGAAATAGTTTTAAAGTTAACCTTTACAGTAGAGGGAAAATAAAATGTTGTATTTGATATGTTTTTCTCTAGCCAAAACATTTAAAGCGATATCATGCGCTCAGTTGTCAACTTTTCTTACACATTTAATATTCAATATAATAAGTAATTGAACCTATTTCATGCATCACTAAACTGAACAGTGTGTTTTTCCAAATCAATGCACTTCTCTGCAGATATTTATAACTGCAATTCTTCTCCCTTCTTGTCATGCTTATCTAGTTTTGTTCCGCGGTCTGTCTGCACACAGCCTGCTAAACTACTTAAGAGCATAAAAAATGGACTTCATCAGCAAAACCTTCATTAGTGGGACCATCTTATTACTGCCCCTTTATTTCAACTACTGTTAAATTCATAAACAACCAAGCAGCTGGCAATAATAAACAACCCTCTCTACTACTTAATCAACGGGACGTTTAAAAACTTTATATGTTGTTCCTTTAAGTTGTTTAGATATATGCAATGACAGGTACCTTGCTGTGTTAAATATGTCAAACAACAGTTTATGTCAAATTGCAATGATACACTTTTTAATAGCTTTTATATTCAAAATTGTTTCAAAATTGTTTCTTGTTTGTTTTTTTTAAGACAAAAGAGTAAAGGAGGCACAGCAAATCTTAAATAGGGTTAATAATCTCACAGATTTCAGTGGATTAAAGGGTCATGTTAATGATCTCATACCCCATTTAGTTTGTAGAGCTCATTCTAAATAGGATTAATTTTGGGAGAAGCCAACACTCCACAACTATAGTCAGAGAACAGCTTGTTAAAAAGTTGCAAAAACACTGAGCAACTAGTTGACGCATCATTAGACAGATTGATTAGATAATGAATGATCTCCGCCACCTGATTCCTTTCCAAACTGTCCTCTGCAACAACTGAAATTACAAAAGACACTGGAGAGCCAGACTGTTATATTTATTCTGACAGCCTCTCGCAGAGCCTGCTTTTACTGCGAACAAAAGGTAGACAGTTTAATTCTTTGTTTAATTCAGCAGATAAAGTCACAAAAAGTAAGAAAATAAATAAATACATAGGATGTCCAAAATTAAGTGTGTGCATTTGAGCACAGCTTATTTACAGCCATTGTAATACTAAATGGCTGCTGTTTCTAATTTAACCCCCACTGACTCAAGACTTTAGAAATTTAGAAATGTAGTGATGTGTGGATAATCTATTGTAATAAACTTCAGACAGTGGAGGAAAAAAAAGATTTAAAAATGTAGTGTAATTATTGTTCTATAGGCTCAAGGTGTTTAATTTAGATGTCAGTTTGCACCGTTCTATTTTGTTTTCAAAAGTGTATTCTAAGGTAGTTTCCTCTGAGTACACAGACTTACCTCCATAGCTCACACTTGTATTTTAGAGTAAGTAGTGTTGGTTGGATAGATTGGTTGCATTATGTCGTATGATATGAACAATAAATGCTCTGTGTCCACTTCTATTTTATGGATCCATTTCATGTGATGCATGTCTAACATCGGATAGAATAGGTTGGGAAATGATGGGCTTTTTCCTGAGTAAGGTTCACTGAGCTCTGTGGCCAATTTGGATCTCATTTTTTGCATAAGCATGACTTGCTTAAATTTTTTTTATTAATTTACATTTTTCTTATAATAATTATATAATAATAATAATAATAATAATTTAACTTTATGAATCTCACACTGGAGAAATTCAGCTCTGCATTTGACCCAACCCCTTGGGGAGCAGTGGGCTGCAATTGTGCAGCACCCAGGGAGCAGCGTGGGGTTAAGGGACCCAGAGTGGCAGACTTTGTTGCAGCTGATATTAGCAATTCGCAAACATATTTTATTTTGTCATTTTGTTCACATAAGTGTCAACAAATAAATTTCGTTAAATACAGCTCTCTAGACAATTTCCTTTTTTAAAGTGTACTGTAGGTAAGCAGCAGTGATAAAAACATTGTGATGAAAAAAAGTGATGTAAACATATGAATGTATACAGTAGTTACAGTTCCAACATTTCAGCTTTTTTTTATATATATGTAACCCATTTTACATAACATTAAGCAGTCATCTCAAACATATCGCAGAAGGAAAATGGTTTAAATTAGGCTATTTATTGATAGTAGTTCTCTCCTCAGAGAGCATCTAGACAATTATTCTAAACAGATTATTCCATTCCTTTTTTTCAGATTGTTTATAAAGGAAATCCTTATGCAGAACACAACTCTACAGCGTATGCCACCTACGAGAGAGGTGTAGAAATTGGCTGCTGGGGACTGTGTATTAATGCGGTGTCTTCTGCTCTTTATTCATGTAAGTGGATGCGCTGGGTGTCTTTGTGCCAAAGTCTGTTTTTTTTTTCTGAACCATAATTAATGAAATCACCATCTATTACCATCCAGACACATGAGAGACAGACGAGGTCATGCACTGGAACAGATAGTAGAGGGCAATCAGACTTTTCCTGTACTTTAGAAGGGGTTTGCAGGTTGAAGCCTCTCATTAACAGGCTCTGCACCATTGATGCTTTCCCAGAGGCAAGCTGAGAACTATGTGTACTAGAATCAAAAAGTAGGTGTGAGGAAGGAAGTATCCATGTAAAATAACAACTACAAAAGGAAGGGGAGATAATGTCCTTGATCTGAAATCTGGTAGAACCATATAATGATGCTATTGCCATGTAACAATGAAAATTGGTTGTTTTTATGGACAGAATAAAGAGTCTTAGGCACCCTTATTTCACAATGCATAGATACTGAATGCATTTCTGTGCAGTAAAATGATTTTTCACATAATCCACCATTTCCTCTGAAACAACAAACCTCATGTGCCTGAGCTGTTTACTTATTAAAAGTACCTATTTGTGACACGTGTGGTTGGGTGTTTTTCAGACGTGCAACGTTTCCTGCTTCCATACATCGGCCTAAAAGGGTTGTATTTCATGGGGTACTTTGTGTTCGGCATGGGAACCAGCCTAATTGGCCTCTTTCCGGATGTCGTTGCCACGCTCATCCTCTGCAGTGTGTTCGGCGTCATGTCCAGCACGCTCTACACAATCCCATTCAACCTGATAGCAGAATACCAGCGAGAAGAGGAGGTATGGGGCTGTTTCTAGTTGACGTCTTATCAGCAGGGATATTTTAAATTAGAAGACACAAACTTTTCTGCTTCAACCACAGAATTTTTTTTAATAGTGCAGGATTTCCAGTACGTCCTCTGGTGTTTTATTCCTTCCTAGTTTGTAAGCTTCATTTACAGAGAGATTTATATAAAGAAAGAACTTTAATTACAATAAATGTTTCTTTTTGCTTGTTTTGTTATTTTTTGTGTGCATAAAGGTGTATAAGTTAAAGACAGGGTAAACCACTTATCAGCTAATGTCTTCTAATTGAGCTCTGGTAACAAGGACAAATTTATTTATAACATTTAAACTAGCTTCTTACAAAAGTAGGAATATTTATGACCATTAACAAATGAACTCTTGACTTCAGTAGAATATACACATAATTATGTTTTAACCTTTAATGAAAACTTTGTAATACCCAAAACAGTACATGATTATGATTAATACCAAACAAAGAAAGTTATATTTTTATCTACCTTCTACCCACTAATCAGAAAATTTCTCCCTGCTGTTCTTCCAGGAACAACAAAAGCTTCTAGGGAGCAATAAAAGTCCCAGAGGCACCGGCATGGACTGCGCTGCACTCACCTGTATGGTCCAGCTGGCTCAGATCATTGTGGGAGCGGGGCTCGGAGGTTTGGTCAACGCAGCAGGAAGTGTAATTGTGGTTGTCCTGTCAGCCTCAGCTATGTCTTTAATAGGCTGCATCTTTATTGCTCTCTTTATCAGATATGTGGAATAATACTGCTTTAAATATTAATGGTGCTGTTTTAATAAATAAAAAGTAAAGCCTCTTTCTTATATCGTTAGTCTGTTTCTTCAATGAATAATATATTATATTTGATTGTTTCCCAACATGATGAATGAAATCAACATAAATAGTTAGATCTCTTGTTCATCTTTTTCATTTTTACTGTGCTGGCAAATGTGTGAAGAGTCAATGTTTCTTACTGATGTGTCTGTTCTCTTTAATGCCATGTACAATGAAGCTGAAAGCTCGACATGCTGCCTTTAGTCTGAATTCATACACTGAGCTAACTTGATCTAAATGGTATAGTCCACTAAAGGAGCCAGCCTTGAAAACATTGTTTTGCAAAATACAAAGAGTTCCTTTCACTTGCTGTCACCATCATATCATTCCCTCTCTATTCCCTCCATTTTACACATAAGCAATTAGGGTGCAACTATCATATAAGGGGGCATGCTTCAAGAAAGTATGTGATTCTTAAAAGTAGAACCAACACCATTACAGTAAAGGTACTATTTTGCATTCTGACACTGCATAACACCGAATTGCCTGCATGCCACATGTTTTATATTCTTCCAGGACAAACAGCTGAACTTTTAACCTCTTTGCTTTTACTGTAGCTCTTAAGAACCTTGGGAGATGAAGAGAAATGGCTATTTCTCATTATAATTAGTTGCCTTTTTGGTAGAGAACTGTGAAAAATATAAAGATTGGGTATTTAATTATCTACTAAATAGTAAAAAAAAAACAGAGGTAACTAAAGAGGGCTATCTATTAATCGCTTGTGACTTTCTTCAGCTGTCTACGAGCGAGGTGGGGTTCACCTTGAACAGGTCGCCAGTCTTCCGCAGGGGTATTCAGTTTAATATAAATTAAGATTATATTGTACATTTTTTATTCAAACTGTTAATATTTAAGGGCAACTGAAGGGTTATTTTGCTCCTTTCTGTCCAAATCATATTTTACTTGCTTCAAACCTTCAATAAGTATTGTTGGGTGATATTATTGTTGCCACCATGGAGGACCATGTTAGCCTCTGTAATAAAGGAAGAGGTTCCCCTATAGAAAGGTCATCATTTTTAGATGCTCCCATATATACATTGGGATCTTTGCTGTCTTCCCGTCTTTTTATGTCCATTTAATGAGAATAAAGGAAAATTGCATCCAAAACGAATGTTTTATTAAAAAAAAAAGATAATTTAATAAACCAGCCTCTGTTTAACATCACCTCACTTTCAAACAAAGTTACCTTGGCGTATGGCAACCTGTAATACACAGTTTATCTTTGTTTTTTTCACTGATGGGTGAAAGCATGATCTTATTGAAGCTATGAGAGGATGACTGTGAACACTTTATTATGACAAGCTGCAGGAAAAGCAGATGGTCTTACGGTGACCAATTAAGAGTTTCTGTTTTTACAGTCCTTACTCAATTACACTGATAGTCATGTAGTTAATAGAACAGCAGCTGCAGTGTTAACCCCTTTCTTTGTTAATTTATTTGTTTATCTTTTCTGTTGACTGATAAATAAGAAAACCTCTCTTCGTTATTCATATTATTTGGAGAACATTTGTTTTTATAGCTATTATTTAAATGCAAAAATATTCAATAAAAACAAAGCAGCCTGAAGTAGCTTCACTTAGTGTTTTTCAATAATCAAACATTGATTTAAACAGATTTGAATGGGCACATATCATAGTTTGGTTAATTCAATTTGTTCTTTTTAATCTTAAAAAATGATTAATTTTTACAGAACATAAATTGATGAATAAAAAATAAATGTTCAGAGTGGTGGAAATGTTTTTATTAAAGGTCTTCCTTTAATTTTCTAGTTGGAAGCGAGGCGATCTATTTACTTTCAGCAGAGGTGTTTGCTCCCAAAGTCATGTTGCTGACAGATGAGGATCCAAAAATATTATGCTTTTTTCCTTTGCTGGTGATTAGCGAAGAGCAGAAAGTTGAACTTCCCCTTTTAAAACTTAACAGCCCTGTTTATGTACTGCTGATTAAAAGATTATGCAACCCTCAGCTCTGTGTCCGCTGCTCTGCTGTACCTCTTACATGCTGCCTTTTCTGTGACTGGGTCATACATGGTGAGGGTGTCAGCAAATTAATCTGTGATTACAATTAAAACTGGCAGAAAAGTTATTTCTCTGCAGCTTGAGCAGTAATGGGGTTAAAATTTATGCCCTAAAGCTAATTCTGTGTTCACTGGGATGGGGTTAGATGGATTGTTGCATTATCAGACTGTCTGAAAATGTTAGAAAGTCTAAATTTAGTTTAATGTGTTGTTTGCCAGCTGTTTTGGTGAGACTTGAATACATTTATATAATAATACATTTAGTTAGAAAGGACTGTCAATAACATATAGTTATTACATGTTTATCTGTAATTAAGGCCTGAGAATAAACAATACAGGTTTGTGATATAAAGCTATATCGATTCCGAGGTACGGTAGTTGTTAAATGTTAAATATTTTTATTTCAGCCCTTAAAAAGTTAAGAGTTTACTTAAACTTTGAAAATAATGATTTGTTAAAATGATCTGGATTGAGTTTAAGGATGAAAATCTAAAATGTCAGAAAAACCCATAAATATCACCAATAAATATCAACTGATAGAAGGTGTGAACTCAAGACTAAATACAGGAATTTAATTCAATTAATTTAAGTAGATATAATTTGAACTGACTATGGGACCTTTTTAAAAATTTTTAACCTGTTGACTGATTTGAATTTTATTTCAATTGTAAAGGGGCTAGGTCACATTAATAGTTTTTTTTTAATCCAAAGGAAAAAAACTCTTAATCTGGATTTGAACCCATTGAGAGCCACCGTGGGCAGAACATTTTAACAGGAGAAGTGCTTCAAGGTTCCTCTTTTTTTGTTGTTGATTTCTTGAGCCGAAGCAGCTAGCACAAGTGACAGTAAAGATTACTACTCTGTCAAAAGAAAAACTGCAGCTTTTAGACACTATGGCGGCATCCATCTTCCACAGACGGTGGATGAATCACAGGCATCAAGGTTTGGCAGACAGGGTTTCAAAAGTGAAACACACTGTACAGAATGGGATGTGCCAACTTTTCTTTTGTGTTTCAAGGGAGCAAAATGGATTTTTAAAATATCATATCATATGAGTGCAACAAAGCAAAGAAAAACAGAAAAGTGATGACAGACAGCTATGTGGATATAAAACTCATTCTTGGGCTGACTTTTTTGTTATTTTCAATGGGAATAACTGCTATTTCACATGTACAGAGTTTGGATGTCTAACATAGCAGAGACATGATATCTTTAAAAGGACAATATTCTTAAATATTTGGTTTGGCATACTTATTACCCTTTAAAGATGTGTTTAAATAGAAAAATCTGCAAACAAAAAAAGTGGATTCTTTAGCCTCATTTACACTACCCTTTTGAAACCGTGCCAAGATCAGTCCGAATTCAGTAAACAAGATAACTGTTGAGTGTAAATGGCATGAAAAACTGAACCGGATCGCACCAGACACAACCGAACCATGCTAAACTGGTAAAAGTTCATCAGTAGGGCTCGGCATGGTTTAATTCAGGCTCGGTTCTCAGATAACAAAGAGTGCATGAGCAGACCGCGTCACCTCCTTACAGTCAGCCTCTGTAATCATGAAATTTAAGACATTTATAAAAATTCTGACTTCCCTACCTTGCCAAACTATTTCCAGTGATGATTCTGCTTAGCAGTGGGATTAACATCAATGTCTGTCATTGTTTCCTGTGTCTGTAAGCCCTGATTAAACTCTCTTTTGTTGTATCTACTTCCCAAAAGCCGACTCTGTCAAGTAAATTCATCAAAGGCTGCCTTCTTTGCCTGACTCTCCGCAAACAGCAAAATATCACATTTATAACCAAACTTCCTGAATGTTAACTGATCCAAGCTCGGCAGGTACTCGTCACGGATCGGTTTTCAGCGGGGTAGCGTTAATAGGGCTTATGTGAGCAGAGTATCCAGCTGTTGGCAGATTGTTCATCTTGATTGCAAGTAACCTTCATGAAACTTACCAAAAGCTTTCATTCAGTCATTCTTTGAATTTTGGGCAAAATTTCCTGGTCCTGATTTTTTCCCCTTGAGACTAAAATCAAACCTCTCATCATGCAAGCTCGCTGCTGGGTCTAATTATTACCTCAGCTTAAGCTGTCTTGCATTAACATCAGCTGCATGTAGGCCAACCTTTAGAGGAAACCAATTCTTCATTTAACTGGTTCAGGCACCTTTGATTAAATGTACTCCCTACGAGTTCGTAACCATTCTGCGGCAAATAGTATTTATCATGATTCATTCCCTGTACTGCTGAGTAAAGTAACAAGTCTTTCAGAGAACAAGGAAACCTTATTCACATTTTTAATACCTACTTACCTCTTAACCTGTTGTCTCCCTCTGGGTTTATAGGTTTGAGTTCTGAATTCAAGCTTTCAGACATTTCACCAGATATCCCCAAACCAAAGTTGAAATACCTTTGTCGCTCACATTTATCTTTAGAAAGACAATCCGTCTGTCTGACATTTGCACAACCTGGCAGTACCTTCCAAGCAAATATGAAGTTTGATTTTATTTGTGGTACGTTACCAGGTAATGAGGCTCTATGCCTGCATTTCTTTTTATAACATCTCTGATTTACAATATGTGTGACTCATAGAGTGTTTTAAGCTGAGTTAGACGTGAGTACTTCTCTAGTTAAGCTGTGGTAAGATGATTGAGGTAGAATACACAGGGTTATAGTTTTACACAGACGTAAAGCTACTTTTTTTCTTTTTAAAAATTTGTGGGAAAAAAGTGATTGCGTATGTCATAAATATGTAATTTTGGTGAACAACTGTCACTTTATAGTGGGATAATCAATGCCTGAGTATGTGGAGTTTGCCTTTAGAGGAGTGTTTTCACCTTTACCTGCTGAGAAGGAACAAAATGACTGAGTGAAACTTCAGTTCAGATTTAGGGTTGTGTTGATATTCAATGGAGGAGAGGGGACCTAAAAAGCAGTGATTTGTTCAAATTGCTACAAACACTCAGTTTGGACTAGAATCCGTTCATTCTC